CATTTGTGTTGGAATATTCTGTTCCAAATATCCATCTCTGGCTGAATTGTTTTTGGAAAAATGTAGCCAAAATTAATTTTTGGGGGCTATTTCCAAACTTAAGGGAAGAAAAATATACACTGTTTTTTACCCATGGTTAAAGAAAAGGCTCCTGGAGCCTCTTCTTCTTTTTTTAAAGCTTTGGCACCACTACATTTAGAGCAAGGCTTGAAATTTGTATGGGGTCTAGTCTGTGTGAGGCATGTGTCTTTGCTTTAAAGAATCTATCCAAGTTTGGTCAAATAATAAGCATTTGAAAAAAATCACAACAAGAAAGCAGATTTTAGATTTCAAATTAGAATTTCCTAATGGTAGGAACAGCAAGAGAGTGGAACAAGCTGCCTACATAGATCAACAGGGCTACAACCAAAAACCTAGCAACATGGAAGATATTGAATTTTGCTGTTTGCAATGGAAACTTCACAACATGGGGGGGAAAAAAAAAAAAGCAGCTAACCTCAACAGTGCTAACTATTCACATTTTCACTGACATCCTACCACACTTCTAGCTTCTCTCATTCCTTGGAGTCTCAGAACAGCAGAGATTCCCTATGCTAGACAAAGGGTGGCTGCACCCAAAAGCTTGCTGAGAACTTTTTTCTAACTACTCAGTCTAATAAAATATATCCTCACTCTACCCAGAGAACCTTGTCTGCCTACATAGGCATTTGTCTGGGATGGTTTAAGAAGAGTGAATCTGCTAACTGCATGGAATTTGACTAGGACAGTAGTAAATCTTAGTTTCTTCAACCTTTCTTCAAAGGTCATGTTTTCTATATCTTTAAATTATGGTTGCACTTGTTTGGGCTTTCTCCAGTTTGTGTGTACATTTCTTAAACTGCAGTACCCCAAACTGGACACAGCTGAGACTGAGAGGAATAATTAAGGTAACACTTTTAAATTTATTTAGAATGAGATACAGCAGCGTTGTTTGGTTCAGTTTAGTTTGTGGTCTCCCATACTGCAGCAGAAAAATGTTGCATGTATGGCTGCTTAGCTGGCTATTTCCTATTTTGTATTTGTGCACTTAATTTGTCTAATTGACTTTGAAGTATTTCTCCTGCTAATCAAAACTATTTAGCTGTTACCACACAGAAAAGAGATCTGGGAGTCATTGTGGATGGTTGGTTAAAAAACATCAGCTCAGTGCTAAGCAGCTATCAAAAAGGCAAACAAAATGTTAGGGATTATTAAGAAGGGCACTGTTGACAAAACTGCTCCTCCTATAAATTCATGGTGTGTCCGCACCTTGAATACTGTGTCCAGTTCTGGCCCCTACACCTCAAAAAGGATATAGAGGAACTAGAGAAGGTACAGAGAAGGGCAACAAGGATGATTAGTGGTATGGTGGGGCTTCCAAATGAGGAAAGACTAATGGTGCCAGGCCTGGTCAGTTTAGAAAAGAGCTACTTCAGGGGAGGCACAAGGGTTTACAAAATACTAAATGGCGAATAGCAAGTAAATTGGTATTATTGTCTCTCAATACAAGAACTAGGGGTCACAAAATGAAACTAGTAGGCTGTGAGTTTAAAGCTAACAAAGTGTTTTTGAGGGGTTTTTTTGTTTTTTCCCCTCACACTGTGCAAGTATGGAGCTTATTGCACCAGATATTGTGGAAGCTGACAGTTTAGCCAGATTCAGAAACGGGATTTGACAGATTTATTGGAGGAAAGGGACATCGGTAGCTGTTGAGCACAGGAGTGAGGGGCACGGCCTCTGAATTGGAACTTCCTAGACCTTAAATGCTGGAGGCTACAAGTGAGAAAGGAACAGTAGAAAAAACTCCTGGTTATACACAGTTCGCTTTCCCTTTCAGCATCCAATCTACCTCTGTGTGATACGGGATACTGGGCAAGATGGACCTATGGTCTGACCCAGAAAATGACTCTTCTTCCCTCTTCCCCCCCCCACGGCATATAGCTGATAGTTACTCCTTCCGGGGTTGGCTTCATTATACTTTACCACCTCTGAATCAATTGGGCAGCTCCTGCCACCATGGTTTCATCTAGATCTTGTTTCCTTAGTTTGGTTAGAAGAATGTTATGCATCCATGGCTTCTAATTTGAAAGCTTTGTTTATATAAATGAAACGTAATAAAACCGTGGTTCAAGCGCACTAAAACTTGGAGTGGATCTTGAATGATAGTGCATTAGTGCTTCAGCCGGTCTTCATGCTAAACAGTGGGCATGTCTATGTGCTAATGCGCCATAATTACAGCACATTAAGTTTAGTACCTGTAATGACAGATACTAACTTAATGCTCTGTAACTGATGCTACTGTGCACTAAATCAAAAGGCCTCTTTTTGTGATGTTAATGCACAGCAGACTAAATCTACTGCGTATTAGCATGGGTTTTGCTCGCCGCCATAATGTGTAGTAGAATTAGTCTACTGCACATAAAGCGTCTGGTGTAGACACATCCAGAATGTTTTTGTATAATGTGTTAATAAAGAACTACACCCAAGTTTCTCTTTCTGCGAGGGTTGCGTTCCAAAAAAAACCCTTGCAAAAAGTGAATTTGTATAAAGCAAATACATTATAACATGTAATTAATAGGGATATGTACCAGCCTCACTCTACTGCCCCCCCCCCAAAACCACGACCAATTCAAACAGTAATCACACAATACAGTAACTGTTGCATGAAGAAGCTGCAAGCAGTAGCATGCACAGGGGGTGTGTCGCCAGGGCAGCATGGGGCAGGCTGGAGAGAAGCAGGGTGGGAGGGATGCAGGGTAGCAGGGAACACTCACTGCTTAGTGCTCTTGGCTCCACGCTGCTTCCCTTCCCCAGGTGCCTCTCCAGCCCGATGGGCGCAACCTGGCTTGGCTGGGAACAGGAGGGCTGCGTGGAGAGGCCATGAGCTCCCTGCTGCACCGGGTTATGCCCACTGGGCTGCGGAGCCACAAGGAAGTGAGGAACAGTGGGGTTGTGCGGAGAAGGTGCTTGCCTCACGCTGCGAGCAGCGGGTGCATAGCCAAGGCAGCACCTTCTCCATGCGGTCTCACTGTTCCCTGCTTCCCTTCTCCCAAGCCTCTGCAGCCCAGCGGGCATGACCTGGTACAGCAGGGAGCTCATAGCCTCTCTGTGCAGCTCAGCTGTTCCCAGCCATGCTGGGTCATGCCCGCCAGGCTGGGGAGGCACCTGGGGTAGGGAAGCAGGGCAGCAGGGAATGGTAGCTGCTCGTCTTGCACCACCCTGGGGACACGCCTCCTATGCCTGCTGTTCTTTGAGGGGCACAGCCCTGCGCCACAGGAGGCACGTGGCCAGGGCAGCGGAATGTGGGGTGCTGGGACCAGGCAGGGAGAGGAGCTGAGCTGCGCCCAGGATTGGGGCCACGGCCCACTGCACCCATGTGTCTGCCCTTTTCCCCTTGGAAGTGTGCATGGCAGCGGGGAGCCAGCACTCCCCCAGTGAGCCACCAGAGGCTCTGTCCTGCTCCCTGTTAGGGCCTTGCAGCTGTACACAGCCCCAAGCACCCCCCAGCTGGACAGCAGGCCCAGGCCTGTCTAGTTCCCTCCCTACAGGGGTCTCTGTCCTCCTCTTACCCCACACTTGCCTGCCAAAGCTGCCCTCAAGGCTACTTGGGGCCACATGCATGTGCTGTATATGCACGTGGCGCCCCCTGTCTCTCTGCCTTTGGCTACCTCCCAGCTCCCTGCAGGCTGGAACTCTGCCAGCCCGCAAGGCATTGCCAGCTGACTTGCATAAAACTGGATTTTTCTCCCACAAAGCGAATTTCTGGTATAAACAAGGTCATTGCATATAAGCGAATTTGCACAAAATGAATTTGCATAACGAGGGACCCGGGTGCAGTATCCTTAGGAATATTTTTAATAGAGATTCTCTTTCTTTTAAATGTTAAATCCCAAATATCAGATTTTTGAGCTTCCAGTGCTTGTTATTTTAAAAGAGAGCATTTTGTAAGAGCATTTTTTAACCTGTACATATAAATAAGGAGCTCTTTTAAGGTGAACTTGGAGGCAGTAGTTCTTAAACAGTTGAAGTCAGTAGTGTATTAAAATAAAGAACTGATATTTCACTTGAACCACTTAAAGATTCACCCTGTCATTCAGAGATGTTTGGCACTCAAGTTTCTGTAATGATGTTATATTCCTGCTGTGATTTGCTTTTGTCTTTTGTTGATTCATGCTATAGTTTATCTGAATTCTAAATTCGCCTAGCCTGTAGCAAGGCAGGAGGATAGCATTATATTAGAATATATCGTTCTAAAGTGCCTGTAGTTTTAAAAACAATCCAAAAAAACTTTTTAATGGAATCTTAAGCTTGTATTACCAAGTACTGTATAACATAACAGGGGCCTTTACATTGGGTGATGGCATAATACTTAATTCCATAGTTTTATGTCATGAAATAATAATATTCTGCTAGTATTACTTTCAGTAATATCTAGAACAAGTGAAGATAACTCTTATAATATCTACATGTTTTCATATCACATTTCACCTTTCATTCCACAGCTATTTTGGCTGGTTTGTACATGTTGTTGTATTATATTATTTATAATCAAAGTTTTTCCATTACAAAGAAATATTAGTTTATTACATTCCTACATACTAAAAATATTGGTCACTTTTTTGTTTGGACTTCACAAAATAATTTTACCTTTGGGTTGAGACAACACAAAGATCCAAAAATGGATAGAATACTGATAATTGTACCAACATAATGGCAGCCACTGATTTGTTCCACTGAGTTTCCCTTTCCTCAAATGTCTTTAGCAATGCCTTGCTACACTGAAGGTGCAGATATTAAAATCATAACAAAGATGCAAGTCTGGCTTAAAACCCCAACTTTTTTTCCTTAGGAACTCTAGGCCCCCTAATCATATGATTAAAAAACTAAAATAATTTAGTTAAAAACCAGTAGTTCACTCACCCATTCAGTTTGTCATCAGTTCTAATGTGTGTTAGAAAGGTAATGAACTGGCTGCCCTGGAAACTGAAATCCTCTGTTTATTCACAGGTCAGATATGATGCAGGCAGCCAAGTGTGAGCTTTCTTACACTGGCCCATCACTGACCTCAACCTTGATTTGGAGGGACCGCCTTCTTTAATGGTAAGAGGCACTTCAGTCTCCTTTCTACAGGTAGTTCATGTATAGGACTTTTTCCATCAGACTGAGCAAGAGTTTACTTGGAATAGTGTGTGTTGAGCTTTTATAGGGACCTTGGAATTAAATAGATTTTTTTAGTTCAGGCAAAATATATGATCTGAACCATAATCTTCATGATGTAGTGATTGTTATTTTAGATTCTATAATCTAAAAATTGTTTAGATAAAAAAATCCTTTATGAGTTTTTTGCACTTGCCTTTGAAGTATCTAATACTGTCAATGATTTGACTACCGAACTTGGCAGACCATTGGTCTGATCTAGAATCACTTCTTTCTAAACATTTTTCAGCCTTCCCCAAACAACTGAGTATAAATAAGAGGTGCCTCACACATTGCCGTTGTTCTAGGCTACCTGAATTATTATGTGTTTCTTTAGTCCATGTTCTTCTCAAGTATATTTTATATTAAATTTAAGATGTATAGTATTATGTTAAATTAGGGCTGTCCCAACTTCCAGGCATCTGGGGGCCACAAACCCAGCGGCTGCATGCCACACAGGCAGGCACCATTGGCTTGCCACCATCATGTGGGCTGCCCAGTGCACCCCCTTGGCTGCTTGCACAATATGGGCAGTCCAGGTTGCCCCCACCCCACCTCATCTCTTTGGCACTGGGTTTTTTAAATATTTTATTATTTTCCCAGAGGCATAGTAGGGCTCCAGGCAGTGGCAGTGCATGGGTGACTGGTACCTCCTGATCCTGGGGAACCCCCACCAGAGGGGAAGGGTGGGATCCCCAGAAGCTAATTGCCACCGCCAGCAAAAGTGCTGGCAGCAAACCTGGAAGTGCTGCCGGTGCTTTTCTTAGTGCTCCCACATTCTCAAGGGAGGGGGCACTGGCCATTGCCCCCCACTCTCTGGTCGGCAGAGGCCAATCTCAGGTGGGGCACATGCCCCCCACCATTTCCCCCTATGCATTGCCTATGCTGCTGTGATGCCAGCATGGCTGTGTGGCTGCAATTGCAGCTGTTGTTTTTCTGCCCCTGCACCCCTTCTCAAGTCAGTGCCACATTTATCCTAGCTTCATTACTTTACAGTATTTTTCCCAAGCATCATAACTTCAAATTCTTCCATTTCTAAACCACAGCATTTAGCTGTTTGCATGAAATGTTAGAGAAGCTAATATTTGAAGGAAGAAAAAATCCTTTTAATACCTGTTACTTTAAAACTAGAGCTTTTGTGGGGGTTTTGTGTTTTGTTTTCGTTTTTTTTGTCTTGTGTTTTCTCTTGGCAAATGAACTGCTTCGTGGAAAAGGCACTCATTTTTCTCTCTCCAACAATCCAAAAGCATGTCAAGGGTACTGAATGATTCTGCTACTGAATGATGCATGTTTCCTGAGTGAGCATCTTGTTGAAGTAATTTGATTTGTAAAACTAACCATTCAAGAGCAAAAGCAAAGGACTAAGATGTTTGCAAAGTGCAATATTTCAAATGTTTGTATTTATGTTAGTATTGCTTATTAATGTTATTAAAGAAGTCTGAACATTTTTTTTCATATGGCCTCTTTAGCACGGATTGATAAGTAGTATTTCTTTACAACATAACCTACCTGGGCTCAGAAGTGCAAGTGCAAGTTTATTCCCCTCCCCCACCCAAAAGAAGGTCACTTTTTTATGCCGAGAGTTCTACTGCTTTCTTTTCATTGAAGCTATGGAATTTTTGAGCTGGGTAAAGTAGAATTCATTTTTTTCCCTGAGAGACTCAAAATAAATCTAAATGGACTATATAATGAGACCAATTTAAAAATATATTTAATATTTTGACAGTGAAAGTGAGACAGATAAATAGTATTACAATTCAAGCAGTAGACTTGAACTGCTGATTTAGATTCTGACTGTCTCAAACTTCCTTTGAGTACTGGGACAAATTTCCTAATCTCTTTGTTGTTTTCTGCGAAGCAGATGGGTTTTAAAAAAAACAAAACAAAAACCCAACCAAACTTCTTATTTTATAGAGATTGCAGGTATGAATTTATTAATTTTGAAGTCTATGATGGCATGAAATGTTAATGTACTTTGAGGTATAGTGCTCTAAATTTTACTACTTGATACCAGAGCTATTAAAAAGCTTACCATTACACTACTACTTTTCTATTTGACTTGTCCACTGTTTGAAAAATCCTCATGCCATGGATGATTAGAATAGTCAGTGCCAACTTTCGCAGCATCCTTTTCTTTTTTTTAATGTAGTCCAAGGTTTCTCAGTCTTTCTTACGGTATAAGCAACACCAAAATGCTACCTGAGTGGGTAGCATTTTCCAAGTGCAGTCACTTTTATAAATGGAATTTGGGTTCATAAATTACTTTTTATTTAATGTGATGGGGGAGGGGGAGGTTGGGTTTGGGTGGCGGGGAGTTGGGATGCTTTCCCCTCACTTGTGTACCTGTCTACTTCTTTGCTGTTAATTAGGTTTTTTTTCCCTAGAAACTCCTGTATCTTAGTGGTAAGAGGAGGAAAGGGGAAAATGTCTGTTCAAGCTAAATAAGCAAGCATGAAACTTAGGATGGAATCTTGAAGACCTAATTACAGAGTTGCTTCTCTGGCACTTCTGTTCTGTAAACAGGGGCAGATTTGGGCAAAATGTCATTCTCATGATATCCAGATTGCCTATGTATACCAAGTGTTTCTTGGCTGTTGTAACTAATCAAACTGGCTGAACAGCTTCAGTCGTAAGATGTGAAGGCCTGAACAAAATTCTCAAATGTGTTTTCTTGGCACTTATGCAACTGTTTAGGATATTAAGCAAACAAGACTGTATCAAAATGAAACTTTGGGGAGAACTAAGCACAAACTAATTTAGCTACAAGTTTCAGATACCTTCTTCCTTGCACTTTGTTCCAGCAGATCTTTTAATGGCAGCAAGATATTGGTGGTTCTCTCTTCTAAAATAGCAAGCATTCATGAGCACCCTGTGTTCTTTAACATAATGCTGGACTATTGGCACAATACACAAGAGAAAGTATCTGTTCAAGGACCATTTAAAATGTTTCTTGGGCAAGATTTTGCTATTTTATACTTGTTTGTAAGTACCTAGCAAAATATTTGAGCTATAAAAATAAACCATTAATTAGAAAGTACATGAAATAAGGGGTAACAGTTTGTGAATCTAATTATGGAAGATAAAGTACTTTTAAAAGTAAAGTGCAGAGGGTTTTGGGGGTGTGCGTTTTTCTAAAAATCTAAGCATTCATTTTGAACTCTTATGTAATCTTATTCCTTACTTATTAGAGTGGAACATCCTCAACTAAATTTTTTTATTTTATTTTTTTTTTAATTCTCTTTGGGTTTTAATTTTGAAGATGCTTTAATTTACAGCAACTCTGCTACAGATCTCTCTTTTGGAACTATAGTTATTCATTGGTTTCAGATGAAATTTGAAATGAACGGCTGTTTTTGTTCTGCTTCAAAGTTAGACTCTTCAGTCATAGAACCTTTTATGTCCGTTTTCCCTTTACTAACTCTCATTTCTGCTTTTGCCTTTTCAGTATTGCTTCTTTCTACATGGTTCTCAAGTCATGTATTTTACTATATAAAGAAGAGATTCTACAGGGCTGGAAAGAATAAACTGCATATCTAGCTTTCCTATTGCTAAGACTGGTCTTTGCTTCTTTGTTTTCTCTTTCTTTCTCCCGTTTTTCCCCCTCACCCCCTGGCAAATCCTGTCTGTTCCTGGATCTAGTACTCCAGATTTGTCAGTAGAAAGAAAATGGCCATATCGGCACCATCCTGCTTCCTCCCATCCTTCTCCCTCCCCCACCCTCAAAAAAACCCCACACATCACAGAAACCATCTCTTCCCCCCCCAAACATCAAACCCTCCAAACTAACTGAATAAAAAAGAAAAAGCTACCAATAGGCTTACAGGATAATATGTAGTGAGTGCCTAGATGATGTGTAAGTGTTGACAGTGAGGGGGCACAACTCTGTGCTGCTGCCACCCTCCTGCTGCTGGGTGCTGGGTTTGGCTGAGCTTCAGGCTCATGCCCTGCCATCAGTGCAGAAATTGCACTGCCACTGCTGCCTTCGCTGCTGTCAGGCCCCAGCTCCAAGCCAGGCTGCAGCCCCATGCCCCACCATTGGCACAGAAATCTGGCAGGGGGCATGTGGCCCCTGTGCTCCCCCACGTGTCTCTTATGAGTGAATGGGGTGGAAGCAGTCAAATTAAATATGGCAATCTAGCAGACCCTTTTAGGCGAAAATGGTACAAAGGAAACTTCCAATAGTATAGCTATCTTGTGTATTTTCAAGGATGAGGGAGACTTCAACACAAAGGAAACTGTTCCCTCCTACATTAGCCCCTCTGCAAACACACTATTAGATGATAATTTTTAAATCTGTGTAAGGTTCTATCTTCAGTCAAGTTCCTGCTTTGTTGAAGCTGTTTATGCCAGTCATTTTGAAGTCCTAAATCGGCATGAAGTGGTTTTTATAGGAGGAAAAATGTGAAACTACAAAATTTCTATTAAACTGGTTCTCAGCCCAACTTCCCTCTATATGGCCTTGCTGTTTTCATTTCTATTCCTGCCCTCATCCTCCCCACCCCCTCCCCAGTTGCAATACAGCACCAGGTTATTTTTGCTAGACATGTTAGTCTGAAATCAGGCAAAAGACAGGGCACGGTAACATCTTGGATTTTTCCTAGTTCATGCTTCTCTGAACCAGTTATTCTAAGGTCCCCCCCGCCCTACTTTTTACATATGTGTAAAAAATTGGTTGGATTGTTTATAAAGCCTAAGTGGCAAATCATATTAGGACAGTGGAAGCTGACAATATTATGGCTGGATGAATTACATTTTATTTTTATTTTTCATCCTTAGGCTCGCTTCTCATACATGCGGATGAAATATCTCTTCATCTCCTGGTTGGTAGTATTTGTTGGCAGCTGGATTATATATGTTCAGTACTCCACTTACACGGAGCTATGCAGAGGGCATGACTGTAAGAAAATAATAGTAAGTATACTTCTATCACTTGTTCTTCAGCTTTTTATCATCCTGTGATTTGTTTGAATCATTCAGTAGTTAGACAAGTAATTTTATTAAAGTGTTGTTTATTAAATCAACTATATGCAATAAAAATAATTCAGTTCACTTGCAGATAATTTACTTACAGACAGTTTCAGAGCCTGGAAGCATGTGGACAGACACAGACTGAAATAAATTTATTGTCCCTTCTTTTTGTTCTACACAATGTTTCACTTATTTGTTTCAGTGTGATAAGTATAAGACTGGAGTTATTGATGGATCAGCATGCAGCAGTCTTTGTGCTAAAGAAACTCTGTATTTTGGAAAATGTTTATCAACAAAACCCAATAATCAGGTATGCCATTATTCATCTGAGCTAGTTATATTATTTGTTAGCTAGTTTGTTTGGGAGGGTTGGGTTGTAATTTTTAGGCAGGCCTTGTTGTATATATCAGATATCTGTTAAACAATAAGTCAAACAAAGTTTAAATATCTCAGTGAGCAAAAACATTTCAAATGTAGGTATTTTAAACTAAGGATTTCAAGATGCAGCACTTGTACAGTTCTATTGCACAAGAGTGAATTCTGATCTGCCAATCAGTTCAGGATAGTAATCTCTGATTCTTTTTGAGTTTTTATTTAATTCAGTTGTTGGTTACTATTAAAGGTGAAGGGTACCACTCATAACTTAAATACCTCTAGATGTTTTTAAATCTTCTACACTTGAGTCTGGAAAAATATATGATGAATTTTGGGGAGAGAAAGGGAAGTGTCAGTAAAATGGGTCAGTAGAGACCAAAAACAAGAATGCTTTGGTTACTAGGGTTGTGTCGCAAAAGTATGTGGTTGATTCCTATAATAGATCTTACCGTCTGAGAACTTGTATATTTTGGCATTTCCTTGTGTACTTGTTTTTGCTGTTTCATACTATAAAATTGTGTGTTCTCTAACATTCTGTGCATGTGTGTATATACATGTCAACACATATAAACACATGCATGTGCCCCTTCTCTTTATTTTACAAATCAGATGCTAAAACTTTAAACCATAGTGGGCATGTCTACATGAGATGCTTAATGCACAGTAGCCTAAGAACACTGCACAATAGTGTGCCTGGCAGAAACCATGGTAATATGCTACTGTGCAGTAGTATTAGGATACTGCACAGTAAGTGTTACTAAAGAACTATGCACTGGCACTACGGTGGAGCAACTGCAGTTGCTGCAATTTAGTACTTCATTAAGCAAGTACTAAACTGAATGCGCAGTAACTACTGCACATTAATGAATGTGTAGATGCACCCAGTAGAACTGATTGCTGTGGTCTCTGTCTGAGCAACTAGGCCCTACAACACAATCACTTCCAAAATAACTGACACTCAAGATGTATTAAAGGTTTTGATGTAATGCTTATGTTCTAGTACAGGTAAAGTAATCAACATCTGGGGAACAAAATCTGGGACAATCCCAGAGGTTTCATAGGATCCTGGAACAACAAGTGTTCTACACTACTTGTGGTTCTGAATAGTGTAGCTGCCTTAATGTGATGCTGCACCTGGGCTAAATAGCTCTGCAAAGAAGGAAAACTCCCATATGGTGCTGTGCCCAGGCAAGTGACCACAGCTATATACTGCTTCAGTTTTGGTTCAGTGCCAGGCAGCATCAGGTTCCTCACCGTCTGGGGACAGGGCTATCATCATGCAAACATTCAAGGAGGAGGGAGGTTGGTCAATTCAGAATAGATATTTCAAGTTTTGGAAAAAAAAGGTTCAATTTTAGAGACTCTTTGGGGATGCTTTCCCCCAAAATCTGGGACAGTTGGTTGCTTTTAAATATAACGTGCTTCTTCTCTTTTTGGCTGCTCCCTCAAGCCAAAGCAAAGTGTATGCCTTATCCTGAATGGAAGACTTGTGGATTCCTATGTATGAAGTATGCTTCCATAGATGATGAAGCCTTTGTTCTTTATGATTTTCAATATAGTGATCTCTCTCTTAACTTTTAAAGTCTATTATTGGATGTGAAATTGTCACTGCCTGTCCAACAGCTGTCAGTACACTTCCATGAGCAAATCCTGCACTCTGCTTTAAAGGATGTATATACCTCGCTTTTTAAGCAATTGTGAAGCAGAGGAGGAGTTCAGAGGAAAATCTTCTATAATTTTTTAATCATGTTGCCGTCTTTTTTTCCTCTAGATGTATTTAGGAATGTGGGGTATTCTGCAAGGTGTCATAAAATGCCAGATGGAAGAAGCTGCTCACCTTGATCTTGGAACTGAACTTGAACCGAGAAAGGAAATAGTTCTGTTTGATAAACCAACGAGAGGAACTACTGTTCAGAAATTCAAAGAAATGGTATATGGTCTTTTTAAAGTAAGTGTATTACTAAAGAAAATAATTACAGAAGCTGGTTCTCACCAGACTCATGCTTTTTGCCCTGATTCTTTCCTTCTTTTTGTTTCGATTCCAACAACTCTGTAGTTTTGTAACAGTATATGAACAGAAATAAAATGCTAAATAGTACAGTCATGAAAATGTATTATCCAAACACAGATGCAAATTAAAGTATATCCACTTAAAGAATCAACTGCATTCTGTGATTGGGGGGAAAAAACTCAATTTTGCTATGGGCTTCAATGGTTGGCTACTGACATGATCCTATAAGAGAGAAATTTTAGCCTCTGATGCTTGTCTTAGAAAGTCGTGAGGTAACTAAAAGAAGAGAAAAGTGATTTATCTAAATGGAAGCAGGAGTGTCACCTTCCCATGTTTTAAATTTTTAATCTTTTGGAGCTTTAAAAGGTAGGCTTGTGCTACAATTTTGAGCTATGTTTTAGCCAGGTTTCATGTGGCATTTATAATACTGGTGGGATCCCAGAAGACCTGTTCATATTGGAATAGGAACAATATTTTAAATATGGTTATTTTAGAACAGTGCTTCTCTACCTTTTTTAGACTCAGAGCTCCCCTAGAAAATGGCAGCTATTTAGTTCTCACTCGCATTTTTGATTACAGAAAAATAAGAGAGCAGTTCTCCTGTTGCAAAGAGCTCGGGCCACAGCAGGTCAGAATGTTTTTAATGCTATGGATGCAGGGTTTAACTTGTGAATCTTGTTAATAACACTGTGAACATTGCTTGACACCCTGTAGCATCTTTGAATGGATCTGAAGGCACCCCAGGGTGACACCCAAGTTGAGAATCACTTTCCTAGAACTTTAGCCAGCATCAGTTTCTTTAACAAGTGTGATGAAGGAGACTTAAATATTTTTCTGTACTACACAGAAAGCAGAGTTGCCATACTAAAAATTATTTCTATTCCTATATGTAGTCTATAGAAAAGGGCTTTGTTTTTGTGCTTAGAGGTGGGTCCTCCCTTCTGTTTCTGTCCTCCTCCTCCTCCAGTCATTGCTGCTTGCTTTCCATGCTGTCCTGGGAGGGGTGGGAGAAGCTTCAGAGTTGCTTGTACTAGCTTGAGCTGGGCTGTGTGGGTGCTGGGCTCAGCTGGGAACAGTAGCAGCAGCAGTGGGGAGGGTATAGATTCCCTGAAACTGCTCACTCCCTCCAAGAGCAAGTGTGGGAAGCTGTGTTGTAGCTGTCTTAGGTAAGTCTAGCCCCCATGCAGCCCAGTTGGAGCAGCTCTGCCCCTGGGATAGTGGGGAAGGTAGCAGTGACTGGAGGAGGGGACATGCCTCTGAGCATGGAGGGGAGGGAGCTTTCTTCTGTTTTGGGGACTTTAACAGTCCTCAGAAGCTCCAGCAGCATGGTCCAGTCCAAAAGGGGAGCGCTGCTGAACCACTGCACCCCTTTTGGATCTGCCCCTGCTGCTGAGTGAGGTCAGGGCTTGTATGAGTATCTGTCTGTACTCATTTAAAGGCAAAAAGCTATGGATGTCTTGTATAGTTTTGTCTTGTAGTGTGGTGAACAGAACACCAATATCCAATCTAGACAAATGTTGTAATTTCCTGTAATTAATACTGGTGGAGCAGTAGAATCTGCAGTAGGAAAACTTCAGAAAATTTTGAGCATGGACAGAGCCTCTAATTACTTAACTGCCCTAATCAAAGTCATATGTAGTACAGTTCTGATCCTAATAAAGGCAAGGCAGCTCTGTTCAAGCAGTTAGGGTTTATGAAAGCAGTTAAACGAAAGGTGTTTTTATGCAGAATGAGAGAATAAATACACTTTCTAGTATAGGTTTAGTACCAAATAAGTTTCAGTATCTGTTTATACCTGGCTAGAAACTATTGTAAAGGATCCTCCAGGATAAAGAAACTATTTAACTGAATATCTGAATTGATTTACTGGACATATATTTAATAGCTTTTAATAGGAAAATGCATCTGAAATGTGTATATTTTTGTTATTTCTAGGCTAAATTGGGAGAACAAGGAAATCTTTCTGAACTGGTTAATCTCATCCTGTCAGTTGCTGATGGAAATAAAGATGGTAGAGTTTCACTGCCAGAAGCAAAGTCAGCATGGGCACTTTTACAGCTAAATGAGTTTCTACTAATGGTGATCCTTCAGGATAAAGAACACACCCCCAAACTGATGGGATTTTGTGGGGATCTGTATGTGATGGAAAGAGTTGAATATACCTCCCTCTATGGAATAAGCCTTCCATGGATCATAGAATTTTTCATTCCCTCTGGTTTCAGAAGAAGCATGGACCAGTGGTTTACTCCATCATGGCCTAGAAAAGCTAAAATAGCAATAGGGCTTTTAGAATTTGTGGAAGATATTTTCCATGGTCCTTATGGGAATTTTCTTATGTGTGATACAAGTGCCAAAAACTTGGGTTATAATGATAAATATGACTTGAAAATGGTGGATATGAGAAAAATTGTGCCAGAAATTAATTTGAAGGAGTTGATTAAAGATCGTCACTGTGAGTCTGACTTGGACTGTGTTTATGGTACGGACTGTAGAACTCTATGTGACCAAAGTAAAATGAAGTGTACCACAGAAGTAATCCAGCCTAATCTGGCAAAAGTATGCCAGCTACTAAAAGACTACCTGCTTCGTGGTGCTCCTTCAGATATCCATGAAGAATTAGAGAAACAACTGTATTCATGCATTGCCCTTAAAGTCACAGCAAACCAGATGGAGATGGAGCATTCTTTAATACTAAACAACTTAAAAACTTTACTGTGGAAGAAAATATCCCATACAAATGATTCTTAGTTCCTTCTCCCACAGAAGGAAATACTGGTGCCACTATAAAAGGTTTGGTACTTTTTTTATCAAATGCACATCCAGCATTTTTAAATTTTCTTCAAAACTTGGACTTAACTAAATTCTCTTGCTCCTACCACAGTACTTCTTGAAGAGGCATGCCACTTTATGAATTCTCTGGCAGAAACCAGGAGAGCCTTGTGGCGGTAACAGTCTGTCATGGAAACTTAAAAAACCATGCGCTTGACCTTCCTCTTGCACTTTGGCAGATGATCTTCAGCTGGGGTCTCCTGTCAACAGTACTCACTGTGCTACCACATTGATGAATGTAACTTTTTTTACAATGCTGTGAAAGCATAATTCACTTGTGAATATCCATGAGTTAGGCTTTTTTATTTCCAAGTCATTTTACAAACATTAGCCAAAAGACCCACGATGACTGGAAACAATGTGGTTATGTTCAAGCTGCTGTTGTGAATGAACTGACTATTTGAGGTTTACTACTTCAGTATGGCAGAATTTGCACATTTAATGGAAAAAAAAATTAAAGTTGCTAAACTCAGTGTGATGAAACTTATTTCAGAAAGCTGGGGATTTTAGTATGAGATTTTTAGTTAGACATTGTGTTTTGAATAAACCTTTTTACCTCATGCTTAATTACATCTTGAATGTTACAGAATTATCTAAACTTTTCTTATTAAAGGTCCTTGTACAGTATACCATGTTGAGAGCCAAGCATTTTAAGATATGTATTATAACAATTTGCACATACAATAGCAGCAATATACAGGTACGTTAGAGAGGAGCTACAGTGCCTGGATCTTGAAATGTCCACATGCTTATGAAGAAAGATAACCCAGTCAATTTTGAAGCCGAGGATTTTGAGGACTAGAGCAAAATTATATTTTAAAGAGAAGGGGAGTTGTATTGTTGATCATTCGTGGATAGCAGCTGTTATAATAGAGACCCACATAGTAAAGATTTGCAGTACTTTGATTTGCAGACAGCCTTAGATCAGGGTTTCCCAAAGTTTTTTGCCTCAAAGGGCTATTTCAAAGGGGTAGTTATGGGTGGCAGGTCACATCAAATGGACCTGTGGGCTTCACTTTGGGGAGACCCCTGATAACATTTCAAGGGGGGGAAAAACTACTACTGGGCCACAGGCCACACTTGGTAACCCCTTCTTTAGATGGTTTAATTGAAGTAGATTCAGGTTAGTTCTTAACTGAAATATGATTTCGTAGTTAAGGCTGCATGGAGGTCAGTTTTTCTGTTTAGCATGTCTCTAAACTGGAGCTAGGTCTAAGCCATAGGACAGGATCTAAATCTCAACCTGCTAAAGGTAGGGGTTCTGTTTTAATGTGGGTCCTCTTCTAACCTGAATAATAGATCAACAATTAGAAAAATATTGGAAATATTCTCCTCTATGTTCTGACAGCCTATTTTGTGTTATATATTTTTAATTGTAGCAGAGGAGGTATATTATGTGCAACGCTAGAGCCATGAGTAAATATTGAAGCTTAGATGACAAATAACTTTGATCTCATCCTTGCACTTATTTAATCCACATCACCACTACATAGCTTTTAATCTTTTTAGTCCCTGACTTGGATCACTACTAAGAATAATTTTACAGAACTTTCATGTGTAAAGCTCTTGTTAATACTGTGCTTGATATTCATTCCTGTTTAATAAATCTTCACTCCTAAGCACTTAACACAGCTGTTCCAAACATTTCTTCCAATTGCAACCTCTGTGACTTCTAAGAGCAAAGCTTACCCCATATAAAGCAGGGTGACTTCCACAGGAGAATTCTGGATATAGAGGTACCATGGAGCTGCTGAGACATGGTAAAGTCCTGCCCCATGTCAAGGACTTCAGGATTTGGAGGAATTAAGGACTTTTTACCTTAACTGCCTCCTCTTCACTTGGGTATCTTACATTCTGGGCTGTTTTTTTTTTTTTTTTTTTTTGGGGGCTAGCCAATTAAGTATTTTTTACAAAT